TAGAATAAATGCATTCTTTAAAATTCATTCTAGTATTTGTTTACAATAGCGACACTCTGGCGCTAGATTCACTTAACAGTATTATATTTTGTTCATATTATAACTCAGAATGCACAAAATTTATATCATTTAAAGAATTATCTAATCGTTGCCACATGTTCTATTCAAATATTATAATAAAGCTAGAACTATGTATAAAAGAAATTAAGCAAACAAATCAAAAAAGGAATAGTTTTTCACGCATATTCACAAAGCCTACAGACCATTTCTCTAAGGTCTGCTCTCATTGGTGAAACATCTGCTTGGCGGTCATATTTGGCATGGCGAGTTATCGCCCTGTAGGCGTGGTAATTAACTGAACAAACTGAAACAGCGTTTATTTCATTCGATATTTTTTTGAGTTTATGGATGAAAGCTTGGAGGAATTGTGTAGAATATATTTTATATAACTAACTGATCTTATTAATAGTTTATTTGTATTCGAATTTAAACTTAAAATTAAAGTACGTAATTGTTTTAAAGAAAAAGGTGTTTACATGGAGATAGCATATGCAATTTTCGTCATTTCTGTTAGAAAGAGCATGTTGTGTAAATTTCCATAGCGCATTAATTTATACAAATAAAGGAATATTAAAAAATAAAACCAAATGAAAAACATTCAGTAAACATTTAAGGGCGTCGGATACCTATTCTTTTTTTACCTAAATTATGAAAAGTAAGTATAACTAAAAGTATATTTTATTCCATTATGCGCTATTTCTATTGAAACGCTTTTCGGGATCTTGGATCGTAATCTTGCTACTGGTACCTACTACAAATAGTACAAACCAGTAAATAAAAATAAGAAAAATTAACAAAAATAGAGAAAACAAAGTCGTTTAATTTTTAACACCGCAACCCAAACAAATAATGACGAAGTCATTCAATAAAGTTAACATAAAATTCAATCCGTGTAGAGCACAGTTTGTGAAAGCTACGAGCAGAGATAGAACCAGCGATCTAGAAGTCTGAGAACTTTTTCCGCGTTCGTTACCACTGAGTTGCGGATTCTCCAGTGAGCTAAGTGCAATTTTTGGTACACCACGCTTAAATACAAATTCTAAAGGCGATGAACCAAAAGTCGCCAAGCGCTAGGTTCTGTAACCCTACGTTTCCAGTTTTAACCAATCGGAGCAAACAGTAGTAGAAACGGTCTGTAGGCTTTGTGAATAAGCATTTTTCACAGACGATGGAGTATTTCTCATTCAATTAATGCATTTCGCACTTCGCGAGAAGGCAAAAATACATAAAAACTCAAAGTATCTGTATTAAAAATTGCGAAGTAAATCTTAAACACTTATTTCCTCGAAAAAATTCCAGAAAGGATTAAGCATGATTTAATTGGTAATAATAATAAGGAAGCATGATTTAAATAATAAATGAAGGCGTTATCTTTGTTGTTGCGAAGCTAAGTTTCTCTAGATTGGCAACAAATCCGCTATTCAGCTGTTTCAAATGTAAACAAGAGCAATGACCGCCATCAAATTAGGCTTAGCAGCATTTAAACAATTTTAAAATTGTTGATAATTCTAAAAATATTGCATACAGATTTACTAAAGGCATAAAACCTGAACCGGATGATAAAAACAACATAATTCAATCATTTTTTAAAGCAAAAAAATGTACAATTTACAACCATATAAGAGTAAAGAAACTGAGATCACTGAGCCGGGTAACAGAGTAGATACATTTATAAATATATTTATATGCGTTTGGCGCGGCCGATTGAAACCAAAATACGAGGTGCACATCTACATGTTATAGCAGTCCTTATATACAAAATTTCAAAACGTTCTGAGGCTACTCGGTTTTTGAGTTATGCGATAGATACGTACATACGTACTTACGTACAGACGCCACGAAAAATTCTCATTTTAATTTCAGAATTCATTTTAAAGCAGTTTTTTTTTATAATTTTTTTTGAAGGAAAGAGTCTTTTATTCTGTCCTTACGTACAGATATCACGCAAAAACATCGTTAAATTGCATTCGAAAGCGGTTAAAGTGGATATTTTCGTTGAAATATGCTGCCTGAAGCTTTTCGCGATTACAATACTTCCTTTTTACTACGTACAAGGAAGTAAAAAGAATGCTTTTTCACAATTGGCAACGACAATATAAATTCTGAAAGTGTAGCGGTCACTCTTTTAGCAAACATGGATTTAAAAATTTGGGACTTACCTAATGATGAAACATCTTTCGTACAATTGCTTCAGGAACGAGGAATTCTTCACTCTGAAAGAAAATGCACGAAAAGCCATAAAATAAAGCTCTACTTCAATTCAAAGAAAACACCGAAATGCAGATGCGAAGATACGACATACCGAGAAAAAACAAAATTAGGTTCTCGAAATTGGTTTTAAATGATCGAAAATCAGCTTCCTAACGGCAATTCGTATCATTTATGCCTGGTGTTTAGCATTAACTTACTTTGAATTAGGTTACTATCAACTTGATATCAATCATTGCACGTCGATTGGTTGGTTTGGTTTGGTAGACAGCAAAGCACACTAGAGCTAGTATCTGTTTACCGGGTGGACTACGCTTTCGTGGAGGAAACTGGCTCGTATACACGTACACATTGAGAAAAACCACGAAAACGCCCAAGCAGCCAGCCCGTTCGCCCAGAATCGAACCCAGGTCAAACTACCAGTGTTCAGTGTTTTTACCATGAAACTTTATGTCAATGACGAAACCATTTGTAGGTGCAATGTTAAAAATTGAAAAACGAGGAAGTGCCTGAAATTGGTTCAGCGGTTCCAGAATATCGTTCGTCAGTATTATTAGATTTAGGTATTCTTCAGCAGAGAAGTTGGCGTCCATGAAATGGTGTAACAAACAGCTTAATGCAGTGCTGCAGTTGACTGGAACAACTACATGTTATAAAATAATAGTAAGTTTAAGAATTCTGAAAAAATATTCCTTTAGAAAACGACATGCATTATTATTATTACTATAATTGTGTTGTTCACTTCGTCATAAGCTAAGCAAAAATATAGTTGAGATTTTGGCGCAAATCTAAAATCTCCAAATATAGTTGGGGGCCGCTATAACAAAAGAAGTGCCATTATTGTTCGCCATTTTCCCTTGGCTATGCTACGCACGCGAAAAAAAAAATCATGTGAAAATACGGCGTTTTTATACAGTAGTATAAATTATTATAAATAATCACAACATATCTGCGGACTACAAGAGTTGAGCTTTTGAAGTAAAGTTATAAATCAACATACACCTGATTTGTGTGAGATTTTTATCCAGAAATATTAATTATTATTCCTCGATGAAAAGGGAATATTTATTCCAGTGATTATAAGAAGTACTTTTAAGATTGTAATATTTTCAGAAAGTATATTTCACAATTCTTTGCACCAAAACAATTTTTATGAAGATAATAGATAGAAAACAGACCGAATTAGGAATTACATGTATGTATGCATGTGTTTATGTTTATACACACATATACATGTATATATGCACGTACATTATACATTGCCTACATGAACACATACATCCATACATACAATACATATCTGAATCCGGTGCCGATAACAGAAGAGTACAAAATTTCTCAGGTGATTAGAAGGAAAAACAATATAAATAACTAAATAATTAATATAAATTACAAAGATATCATTTTGTTATAATGCAATTAAAAACAATATATTACAAAAATTACAAAAAAATACAAAAAAATTACAAAAATATCAAAGATAGTTTCGAGTTTTGTTATTTATATAACCAAACACTCAGCGAGATCCGAAAAATATAAACCCTTTGTCCCTTGGGGTCGGGTCAGAACAAGAGTAAATGTGTAACGTGTATACGAGCCAATTTCCCTTGAAAATCCTCCACGAAGGCATCCCTCCCCTTAGGCAGATAGCCCTAGTGTGCTTTTCCGTAATTAAATAAACCAAATCAAAACAAGAGTAAACTGAATCAGACACTTGCGTCGAGTGAATAAATACAATGGGCTGTTTTCTGCAAAGAAATGAATTACAGGAACAATTCCTAACCGAATTTGAAATCAAGCATACAACAAAAAATACCTTAAATTTAACTGTTCAGTATAACTTTTTAAGAATACCTGCATTTTATTCCGTGGTTAATATTAAATTCGTTTTGCACATCAGTTTGTTGTTTAACCTTTTCACTACTTAAGAGACATACATGTCTCACTAAAAGTTTAAAGTGACAGTTTGGTTAAAAAGTACTTAGTATCTGCTGAATGTTTGGGTCATTTCTAATAGTTGGAAAATCGAGAAAACGCTGTGCTCGTTGTACACAAATAAACGTAGAGAAAAGAACTAATATGAATTGACCAATGCGTATTGTTGGGCTATGCAAAGAATGCTTTAGTTTGTACCATACGATGTAACACCTATTTCATATAATAAAGTTTTCCAGAATAGGCAAGTCGATCGCTATGTGTGGGACATATATATCCCAACGTGTGGGACATATATATCCCACCCTTAACTACGGCTGGGACATATGTGTCTCAGGCTGTGGCTTGAAACCGTTGGTCAAAAAGATTCGAAATGATAAATTTACCCTATTTATGACATTTTGTTCACTTGGATAGAAAACGGGTTATAAAATATTTTTTTAAATTCGTAGTCAAAGGGTTAAGTGTAAAGAAGAAGTATGCTGGCCCACTGAGGCTTGCATGATAATAAACGCAGGCTGACGGCACCCATCGCTTGAAAAGTTCGAATTTCGAAAAATATTCTGAGTGTAGTATTTTTGAAAAATAGGATTACTTAAAATATGTTGATAAGCACATCCTACGTAAAGATCGATCATAAGAAAAGCTGGAATGCTAGATCTCCTTGGATGGAACTTAGCCATACAGTTCGTGGCTTTGTCTAAATTAAATAACGTAATCAAACAAATGTATCAAACCTGTTCTGTTGCTTTGATTCTGGCTTTAAACCCATTTTATTGTTATTTTCTCTTTTCCAGTGCATCGAGGGCGAAGTGAAACAGTTTGACTTGTGCGTAAGTACCTATGATTTTATCTTTAATAAATAAGGCAGCTCTTGGCAAAGACACTGCTCATTTTTCACGTCTCTGGCTACAAAAAAAAAAAACTAACAATTCTACAAAGTCAGACATTTATTACAAACTGCAAACGCGCGAAAGTTTTTAATGCGCAATATATTTTCTTAACCATAATTATTTTATAATGTAATTTAAAAAAAAAATTAAGTAATTTCGGTCGATTAGAAATAGATTTAAGGCGTTTTGAATTTACGCCAATAACATTAATTTTATTGTTTTAATTCAGTAAAAATAAAAACAGAGACATGTGTTTGATTTTAAGCATATACTTAAATAAAAATCTTGTCTTATATTATTTAAGATGAAAGGGAAATTTGCTTCGAATTTACATTAATAATAAGTTACATCATTGTTAAATTCTGAGGCTACCTTACAGATCACCATGGACTTGTCAGAAATGTCGTGTTAACGAAGAAATCCGTCATACCTTAGTTTAACAGGATCTGTAACTGCATTCTACTAAGATTTTATACGACACTGAAGTAATCAATGAATTGCTAGCGTGATTGTATTAAAAAAAATATTCGTTTTGCACACGATTTATGCTACCAGGTAACCAAGAAAGTTCGTACGGGTATAGTCATTCATCAAAAACAGCCCACAAAAATCTTAAACACCCGTTTCATTCTTCGAAATAATCATAGTTGACTTCAATTATATGTTCCAAACGAGATACAAGCTTTAAAATGTCCTTTTTGAAAAATTTCCTTTTCCTGGAGTCCAAAAATTGTAGCATAGGCTTGTGACATTTCCGCATTTTCAAAATTGCTGTTTCCACAGCCAACCATGACCAAAAACAATGTGTCCGATGGAGCGATGGCCAGCGAATAGGGTGGCTGAGGCAGAACTTCCTAGCACAGTGTTTCGATGACCAGTTTGGTCATCGAAACTTTGCCACATGAGGTCTTTTGCCACATGAGGTCTGACATCATCCTAGAGGAGGAGAACACCTCTTCTGTTGACCAAAGCTGGCTGTTCCTGGTACAGTGCAGTTGAAACTCTTTGCAAACGCTCCGAGTAGACCTCGGCTGTTATGTCTTTTCTGCTTTCCAGATGTTCACAGCGAAATATATCAGTGCTAGTCCACCAAACACACAGCATTACATTCTTTTGGTGAATGTCCGGTTTAGTGAGCAATCAGACCGGTGATTCAGAAGTCGATCAATGATTTTCATCTTCCGGTTATCATACATGATCCATTTTTGGATCACATGTCAAGATTTGTCCAGGAACAAAGCACACGACAGCAACGACAAGCAAATGTTCAGTCGTTAGAGCTTGTTTTCCTCAGACAGGACATGAGGAAGCCACTTGCCCAGTTCCCATATCATCTCAAGTTTATAAAGATGTAGTCGAATGGTTTCGTCAGATACTCCAAACCTGTATTCAAGCTCCTGCCATTTTTAATTAGGATTTTGCTTGATTTCCTCCTCCAGCTGGACTTTGTCGAGGGCGAATGGACGACGAACACAAAGTTTGAGATGAAAATCAGCTGAATCACTTTTGAGCAGTCTATTCTCTCACTGACGTCTCTCCAAGCACGCAGCATATTCTTTTAACGGCCTCTGCAGCTTTATTTCCTAATTTGTACTTATAAAGCAAAATAGGCTTCAAAATCTCCTTTCCCAACGACGTATGTTTTCGAAGATTGCGATTTCTACAAAACCAATAGCGAAACGTGCGATGCACTGAACCTCTCTACTAAATAAGGTTTGAAAGGAATATAAACGTATGACGTCATCAGAATCAGTTTGATCACAAGTAACTGTTCTTAAAAACCGCACGAACTTTCTTGGTTACTTGCTATAATGTGTAAATATGTAAGGAAAAACATTAAGTTCCTTCACTTACATTCAATAAACACTTATTTTTCCTATTCAAAAGGCAATGCAGTTGTCTGGATTAGTTGTCATATTAAGTCCGAATGTTATAACTTTATATTTCTCTAGGAATGTTACACATGAAATAATTATTTTATTTATAAATTATTGATAGTGTGTTTTGCTTATTCATGTGCTTTTCCTTCAATTAATGATTTACATTCCAACAATTTAAAATAAAAACTGAGATCTCGTATCATTTTGCTAAAGCTGCCCATTTGATAAGAGATTCAGTTCTAGTTTACAATATTAAATGCATTTAAGTGTTAGGCAATATTTTCATTACTTAATTCAAACATCCATGTCCAGATTTTTAATGTAATTCAGGCAATAACTTCACAAAATAATATATATAATTATTCTAGTAATAGTTTTTATTATGTTATATTTCTAATATATATACTATTTACAATTTAACGAAAGCAGTATAAATAATTCATGTCTATAAAGCGAAAATAACTAAAATCTTTAAAATAAGTAAGTCAAATTATTGTATATTATGACTGCTAGATTTAAAAAGTTTATAAATTTTCACACTTAATGATTGGCTTCTTAATCTGTTCTATGAATAAAAATTAAAAAAAATTTTAAATCTAGAATGTTACATGACGATAGGAAGAAAAATCTATTGAGATGATTTAGTTATTAATTTTCAAATATAAAACTCAGAACTTATTTAGAAATAAATTATATTTTACTTGATGTAAATTTTTCACTCTAAAAATTATAGCACATTCGGAACTTGCACATTAACGCAACCACCTTGGCGCAATTTGGAGATTTTTTACACATGAAAAAGTAAAACATATAGGGTGAAAGTTCGTGGTTTTCGCGCCTTTTTTATAGAAAGATTCGCAAATAATCCATAATTATCATAAATCGGTAAACATTATCAACATATGAAAAGAAAGCATACTTTATACATTTAAAATACAAATTTGAATTATTAAATAAGGGTAACGTGATACATAAAAGAAATAAACCACGTACTTTCTTCTTCAAATCTTTCTATAATATTTTTGCGCTATTCTTCTCCGGAAGTACATCTCAGCGATTTGTTTCCGGAAAAAGATACAAAGAACTGCGTACAACCATCGGCAACCGAAGAAACTCTTTTCCTCATTGTTCCCTTTAGAAAATTGCAGGGTAGGGTTTAATCCTAGTATCCGGTGCACAAGGGATTTGGCTACTTTTGGCGACTTTATGATGAGCAGTAAACGGGACATATACGATGAGTAGTTAAACGGGTCATTTTGGTGTTGGCGATAATTTTCAAAATCGCGCCAAGGTTTCACCATATACTAGGATTTTACCCAGGGTAGAAGTATAGTTTAGGGTACCCCTTGGCGAAACTTGGCGAATTTTGGCGGTACATGGATACCGATTTTGTGCAGTTCTTTGACTCGTTATTTTGGCTTGCGAAGCGGCGATTTTTGCGCCAAAAATCATCGCTACACAAAGGCAAAATAACAAGACAAACAATTGCACAAACTGCGTATCCATGTACACATCGACTTATTTTCACTTAAAAAAAAAAAACCCCGAATTGCACAAAAATGGCATTGCACACTCCTTTGACTTTATCCATGTACACGTCGACCCATTTTCACTTAAAAAATATCCCCGAATTGCAAAAAAATGGCATTGCGCACTCTTTTAACTTTATCCATGTACACGTCGATCCATTTTCACTTAAATAAAAATTCCAGAATTGCACAAACTTGCATTGCGCACTCCCTTTACTTTGTCCATGTACACATCGATATATTTTCACTTAAAAAGTCAAAGGAGCACCAAATTCTACAATATAGACAAACAAAAAATACATAATCTCAATAAAACACATTTTTAACCAAACAATAAAATAACATAAAAAAGGGAAAACATGTTATACATTTAAGCACTACCAAAAACAAATATTTACTTACTATGATTTTCGAGTTCGCTTCGCACACCCAGAGCCACGTAAAAATCAAAATTTCAATCATACTCAAATGACTTTTTTTAAACCAGGTAGTCTTTCTGATCGAACGCTTCACATAGTGACGATCTGAACCTTTATTCCTACAAACCCATTCAAATCCATCTAAACGGTTTTAACACACACCACAAAAACGCTTACAAAACATCCCACGATTCAAAATTTCCCAGAATCATGCACCCGATTACGTCACAATAGGGTTTCCATAACATTCAACTACTCAGGCTACCATAAATGAAACAGCAACTTGGCGATAAATCAAACAACAACTTCGCCATAATACAAGGGGTACCTTAAAGTCTACTCTACCCAATTGCATAAATTTTTTCCAGTTTCTTTTATTGCCGACAAACTCCCCAAACTCATATTTTAAAATTCAGTAGTAAGGCAAAAAATATAACGATTTGTTTATAAAATCCGGTAAAACTTGGAATACAACAAAGCAAGAACGCACACGAAAATGGCGGCGTTGTTAGACTGAAAACATTGTCAGGATGATGGTTGCCAGAATTTGGCCCATTCTGAAACTTTGGCGACTTCTAATAAGGTGGTTGCGGTAATATGCAAGTCCCTCGCATTCTTTTATTTAGAGTACAACAAATAAAAATTCGCCCAACCGGAACAGTGGTTAATGACTCTGACTACCATACCGAAGGGTTCCGTTTCGAATCCCAGAGAAGGAGGGATATTTGTAGATGAAGTCCTTTCGAGCGGCTGGTAGTAGGCGAACTTCAGACCCGTCTCCCCGCGACACTCTCCTTCAAAATTGGAGACGGGACTGAATGAAATTGTATTGTCACTTGTGCCCAAGGCTCTTGCCAAGTAGAGGTTCAGATCTTCACTCCTAACCACGTCGAATTTCGTGGGCTTGCTCTGATTTCAGACAAGTAAAATTAGTAGCAACGACGAATTAGTTCTGTTTCCGCGATTCCTCTTTCCGTGTTTTTCAAAAATCTCTCTGTTCCCGCGAAATCGGAGAGTACATTTCCCCTGCCACAGCTACTCAGGAGATGTCACAATAAATCCTTAAAAAGAGCTGGGCAGTTTTTTTTTTTATAAGTTAGTCTTCGCCAGATTGAAGACGTATCTTAGTTTATGCTCCTCTCGAAAACTTTAGTTTCATTCTATTTGTAATTCTGATACAATATTAGCTGCTGTTTTCACATTTTATGTTAATCAATATAGATGTTTTACACATTATTAAAACTAAAAGGGGAAAAAACTGTAGCCCTTTATAAAGCTTATCAATATCGAATTCGGAACAGATATGAGGAAAATGTAGCTTATAGGATTTGCATAAATGAAAGAATTAAAAGCTGCAAAGGTGCAATTGAGACCAAAGCAGAAGTCGTTTTAGAAGAAAGAAAGTCATTTTAGAACTTTGTTTTAGAACGAATATTTATTCGGAAAGATTTTATTATAAGTCACCTTTATGCAGAATTTTGAAAGAATATTGTTTTTTAGTTTAGGAAACGATCTTTTAGTTCATTGCCAGATCACTGCAGAGTTTGTACATCTCTCTCTCTCTCCCTCTCTCCTTTTAAATACAGTATTAGCTTCATTCATGTAAAGATCTGAGATCATAAATATTTTTTCAATTGTTTCTTTTTAGAAATTTTTTCTTTTCTACATTTCGGGAGAGGCCAAGGTCCACTCGGCCCCTCATTATGTAATCCCTTTAGGGAGGGATAAATGAAAGTTGATGATTTCGCGGAAACAGGAACGTTGTTTTTGCCAACCGCGGAAACAGGAATCGTGGAAACAGGAAGACACCGCTACGACGCATAAAATTTTGGAATTTTAAGCAAGAATTATTTACTTAACAGAAAACAAAATTTCGTATTTTTTTAAAATATGATTTTTAATATTTCTGAACTGTAAAGGAACGAAAATAATTATTTTTACCTTAAAACGCATGTCTTTTTTTTTTTTTTTTTTTTTTTTTTTTTTCAGAATTTCAATGCAACGTACGATCCATTTGCTCTCCTGGAAATAGTAAGTTGGCAGAATTCCCTTTAAAAAAAAAAAATTATAAACATTTTGTGAATTTTATTTGCAGGAGAATTCAAGATAAATCTCTGCAACATAAATTAGTACAATATACTTCTGCTGCAGCAAATATTACAAGCAAAGAATATGGTAATTCAGAAGTCAAACAATAAAAATCAGCGTTATATTTACATTATTTATTGTTTGACTTCTGAATTAGTATTTATTCGGCGTGTTATTGTGTCTTAATTAAAGAATATGGTATTTAATCACTATTAAATACAACTGAAAAACTACTCAGTGGAACTCATGTGACGCATTTTGATTAGAAGAAACTTCTAAGAATCCAAAATATAAAAACATTTCGAAACATTTAGTGTTAATGACATTTTTGGCTTTTGCGACAGAAGTTAACCAAGAACTCTATATCCATCAAGTATTTTATCTCAGTTTTAAGGTCACAAGTTTCCACTCCCTTTTTTAGCCCAACACGGATGATAGTCCCGAATAGGATATCAGTCTCCAAAAACGTTTTGCGTCGATTCACATAAATGCATTGTATCATTTTTTAAACTCTTGCCACCAAATATTATCGACCTGTATTACTTATAAAGAAATTAAACAATGAAGAATCTGCATGATTGTATGCATGTTTCTAGCATTATCAAAAAAGTCAGCGGCACCTACAGCCATCCATTTTTAAATAACGTAGTCCTCCACACGAACATGAGCACCTAAAAGCCCGAATTTTGAATTTCGAAATTATTTTATTATCTATTGCATACTTTGTAAAACTTTAACGAAATTTTGGTTAACAAACTCAACGATTTCAAAGTGAGCAGTAGCAATACCTGCACAGAATAAAACAGGCTGCAAAGACAGACAGTCTCGCAATCTAAACATTTTTATCTTTATATTGCGAGATAAAAATGACAGATAGTCTCGCGATCTAAACATTTTTATCTTTAGATCGCAAGATAAAAATGACAGATATATTCGCGATCAAAACATTTTTATCTTTAGATCGCGAGACTATCTGTCGGACATTTTTCAAGCGCCAATAATGAGATATTTTATAAATAAAGTAAACACACAAAACTTTAATAATAAAAAAGAAAAATAAAAGTTTTGTAAAACCACCTTAGTAACAAAATTGAAAAATGATACGATAAACTCAGAAAAATGTATGCCAACACTTAACGGCATACACTTTTCTGAGTTTCTGAGTTCGGGAATTCTAAAGGTATAATGCAATGTTCATTTTAAAATGTTTTTCAATTTTGCTGTTGAATTGTATATGGCGTAAGTGTGAAGAAAATGATGCTTAATAATAAAGCTAAAAAGACGAAAAAAAGGGTTAGTAGTAGTGAGTATAACAGCAGATTGTAATACTGCGAGCTCAGCGAGAGCGTAAAAAACCTTAACCAACCCTTCTAACCGACCCTTAAAATCTGAAACCTTTCAGATTTTTTTCGCTTAAATTTTAGAATTTTTCCCGCAAATGAACCAGCATGCAGAGTAGTCGGAAAGTAATTTTATGCTAATTATGAAATTTTGTGATTGTATTTTCCTATTATTTTATATACTGATGTTTTGCACACAATATACACTAGAAAATAAACACTTCAAAATGAATAAAGAAAAAAAAATAGTACACATGTAGAGACATTAGAATTTTTTTTTGGAAACAGGCAAGATAAAAAATAGCAACTGCCTTCGCCGGGAATCGAACGACGGACCTCTGGAATACCGGCCCAGCAGAATCACTACACGACGAAGGCACGCTAGGAGAGTGGGAGAAATACCTTAAATACTCCCCTTTTTAAAGGGCGACTGAGGTTTTTAGGGGACCCAATCGCCAAATCCTGGGTGTGGAGAGTCATCATCCACAACCCTTTTAGTTTGGGCGCCACTGTAGAGACATTAGGATTTTTTTGGAAGCAGGCAAGATGAAAAATAGCAACTGCCTTCGCCGGGAACCGAACCACGGACCTCTGGAATACCGGCTCAGCGTGCAGAATCACTACACCACGAAGGCATGCTAGGAAAGTGGGATAAATACCTTATACACTGTATAACGCTTAATAGATTCCGTACTGGAGCATGTAACTGCAGAAACATGACTGGCCATGGATTCGATGAAAATACACAATTATTCTGCACATCCTGAATGCACTCTCCTCTTGCACTGCTGTCAAATGTTTCGGGCGAAGCAATGATTTTTTTCGCAGCTCTTATCAAAGAACAGAAACAGAATTCGCATTTGCCAGCGTAAATGGTGACTTCATCATAGTGGATTGGTTGCTGAACCGCAAAAGAATGCGACTTGACAAACGCATCTGACAAAACTTAAGGTCACTTGAAATAAATAAATGTTTAACTTTTCTGTTTAGAGTGAAGAGGGGAAAATAATTTAGTTAATAGAGATTTTTTAGAGAGGTAAATTGGCCCGATGCTGACAATTAGGCTAACAATTTCTTGATGTTACTTCCTTTTGAAAAATGAAATATACTGTTACTTTATATTGTGACTTTCTAAGAGCCTTGTAAAGAATTTGGAGAGTCAAATCTTTGATGCAAAAGCTTTGATGCTACCTAATCTATTGCTTAAAAAGTTTTTTTAAATTCAACTTTGCATACGGAACTACTTTCGTTTACGCACTTTTACCAAAGTAAATAAATTAACATAATGCTGAGGAATCACTGCTTACTATTCCAATCATGTTTTCTAAATGTTTTCTTGTAGGCGAAAGACAGCAACGTTCATTTTGATGCAGAGATCTATATGCAACTAGTTGCTCCTTTTCTCATTACCATAAAGGCTGAAGCACACTCAAAAACTAAATTTTACAAATTAAATCTCCGCTATTTGCAGGATATCAGTTAACAAAATAGTTGAACTTGAAACGGCTGCGGAAGATGACAAATCAAACAACCGCGCTTTACTTCGGCTAGCAAAATGGCTAATGCTGGATAACTATAGTAGCACAGCTGGGCGAAATATTGCGGTGGTTGCCAAAAGCTCTCTGACTAAAATTTTCATAAACTCCAACTTAAATACTCTTAGCTCCTTCATAGCCTGCTAAAAGTTAACGAAAGGAAAAGTTGTAGTAAATTTCCAAATCCTAAGAAACAATGTTGATTAACATAAAATATACTCTACACATTATATTAATGAAATTCATTGAGTAAATAACTTAGATCAGTAATTTGCATTCGAATGACACCTTTTATTATGAGTTTGCCTATTTATGTATTCATTTTGAGTCTCTTCAGGTTCAGATCATCTGATCTGTAAGAAAGATTACTTACAAGAATGAAATCAATATTGCTCAATTTAAAATGAGTCCAATATTTTAGTCTAAAAGATGAATTTTTCTCCCAAACTTTCTCAGTCCTATCACTAAATGAAAACATGAATTAAAATAGCTAAATTTGTGGTAATTTCGACTTGAAGTAAAAAATTAAAAATAACAAACGCAAATTTACTTCCACTTTTCGCGAGATTAGAGAAATTTAAATTATTTACAATTTAAATTCTAGCCTAACTCCCGTCTTAGTGACTTTCGCGAATTATTACTTAACGTTCAACATCAAAGGCGATCATCCACCAGTTGACAAATAACGCTGAATTGATAAGAATCAGTGGTCGGCAGACGTTGTCAGTCCTGCTTCCCTTAACTTAGATTCTAAGAGCCGTATCACACCTTAAAAACATTTCAAACTGTAATGAGTGTATCTCTTTAAACTGACTGTAATTAGTGTCTCTCATTAAACTGACTTTAATGAGTGTCTCTCATTAAACTGACTGTAATTAGTGTCGTTCATGAAATTAATTTAAAGCTAGCTCATGCAATGCATCGTGAGTACTTTGAGTCTGAATGGATGCATTGAAATAAAACTGAAGTTCTAGTAAGCAGTTTATTCTTTAAAGTGCGCGCAGATTTGCTCAGGAATGCACTTCCAATTTCGCTATTTTTTAAATATATTTCTTGAGTGCGTACGGGTTCGCAATGGGTTGAATGCACACAGATGATAGGTTGATAAGATTTATTTTATCGAACGAAAAATTTCGGAGATCTGGAACTTTTCACAAAGATAGTCGTACAACTCTTCTGAATATCGCAGAGTACAATCAGGAGTTGCATTTAGTTGTATTAGTTATCGCAGAACAATCAGGATTTGCGTACTATGAATGTTAAACACAATGAAATGCAAAGCGAGAGCTACCCGGAGATATCTCAGTACTCCGAACTCACGCTGAGCTAACAACCTACAACAACAACTACTGAGAGCAGTCTTACATAATTTTCACCCGACCGCCGAGATATTTCTAGTATTTTCCGCTTCTCGAAATGACTCGAAGACAATACGAGATTCGAATTACGCTTACAGCTAATATAGTGATCAATTATATTTATTCAATTACTATAGTGGATAGCTATAAAGTGATAAAGGGATCGGACCAAAATGTCGCCAAATGATCGTCAAATTTGGCGACTTCTCGTCAAATTACCGAAATATCCATTTACTCACGGTTAAATAGACTTGCCTCTCTATTCTTACTTTTCCAGTATAGCTATTCGCTCTAGATTTTTCATGCTACGTTACTCAGAAAAATGCAACAGTTTCACATATATCACTGAAACCACCTATATTCGTAACAATATGATTAAAATTGAAGCAAAAATTGCTCGATAAAATGCATAACCCGCGATGATAAGAGAACTGTTTGATTATGTTTTCCTATATGGTTTCCTATAAATAAAACATAATTGTTTCATTCTTTTTCAGTGCACAAAAGGAACTGTAGCAAATGATATTATAACTTCCATAGTGTCAAGTTTCCCTACCTTTAAGGCAGATACAGGCATACCACCGGTAGTGCCGAAAACACGATGTTTTCTTCCTAGTCCTCCTGGTATAGGATCGACTCCTTTTTCAGCAATCGGAAGCTAATTGCTCTAAAATTGAATTGCACTTCGAATTTGTTATGTTTAGATGAAGAAAAGATTTCTGTATTGCTCGAATAAAATTATTATCATTCCTAATTATTCCCAATTCAATCATTACCAGTGTCATCACCCGTTAGCTCCGAATTTCTTACCTAAGCCTGGAATCACACATACACACACAAAAATGGCGTGTGCTTTGGAAGTTTATGATAACCGGCTCCTTCAGATCATGTCGCAAATAGTCCAGCAACGTAATTTTGTGCCAATTTGTAGCCTGTTATAAACACATCATAAAATATCCGATGTGGACATAATATGACTTCCTTGTACAGCCTATTAAGTTATACACACTTTTTCTGCATTTCTTTTAAACTTATTTCCTCGAATTCCATTAGACATGTACTTCTAATTGAATTAATTCAGTTCTCACTTCGCGGCAAGGCAAAAAAACATAAAAACTCAAAACATCTTTAAAGATTGTAAAATACAGAAAAACATAAAACACCAAATACAATTAAAAAACTGTTAAAAAAAGAATTTTTACAATTAAAATTAGAGTTGTTATGCAAAAACAAGCAATTCGTCCGGCGGGCAGGGAGATAAATTTTTCAGTGCACAAAATTGAAAGTTTATTATTGATCTCACTGGGCAAAAACAAACTGAAGTAGATGCACAAACTGAATTAACTGCTCTACTAAAAGAATTTCAAATGTAAACTAATGGTCGCCTCACTAGGCTTAACAGCATGCCTTAAACACTTAAATTGTTGATAATTCTACATTGCATGCAAATTAAACCTTAGCCGGAAGATAAGAATAACATAATTCAATCATGTTTAAAGCCCCCCCCCAAAAAAAATACCAACGTATAAGAATAAAAAACTCAGCTCACCCAGCCGGGTACCGGAGTAGCAATATACATGGTGTATCAGTACAGTTATGACAAACTTTCAGAAAAGATAGAGACGATGGGAAATCACATAACAATTACATGGGCGGAAACGCTTTCCTGGCGCGATAGTGACGACACAAAAGTCAAGAAAGAAAGGACACGAACGAGGTAAGAAATGCGGAGTACAGCAAAAAACAGGGGGGGGGAATGTATAGATATATAAAGAGACAACGATCGTCGTCAAAGGTGTTCGAAATTACGACCCGGACCGTGATGCAGGAACCGTGCATCGTGCACCTTCTATGCAATCTTCCACGCGCCGGAGAAGTGAGGCCTACATCACGGTCCGGAGTCGTAATTTCAAACACCTTCTTTAATGACGATTGTTTGTTTTTGTTCTTATTTGTTGGTTTCTGCTGTACTAAAATAATCGAAGGCATTTGCATTTGCAGAATTGGAAGCATTTGCATTTGCAGATGATGCTACATTCATCGTCAGAGGACACAGCAGGCATGTTCTCGAAGCCCGCTGCAATGACGTTATCTCGCAGTTTGACATGCTCTGCAACCAAAAGAAGCTACGAATCTCGGAGCTCAAGTCGAAATATATAATATTCCATAAACCTGGCCAGACACTCCTTCGCAATCCATGTATTAACCTTAGACAAAAGAGAGAAACCAATGAGTGAAAGAACTAAAGCTTCTCGGCTTATTAATCGATGAAAAACTCTCCTGGCTCCCTCATTTGCGAGCTCAACGCATTAAAGCTCATAGAATAGCCTCCCGAATAAAGGGCATGCAAGGCTCAAACTGGGGGCTCCGGCCCCACATCCTAAAGATAATACACAGCACAGTGGTAGAAAAATACTTATCTATGGAGCGGGCATATGGGCACTTCCAATGACTACAAGGAAGCAACAAATTTTGAACAGCGTTCAACGCCCATTTGTTTTGGCCATCACGAGGGCCTACAGGACCACAGCGACTGCAGCAGCCACAGTGCTGGCTGGACTTATTCCACTGCACATACGGGCCCAAATGGAAGCGGTCATCGCAAAAATTACTCTCCTTAAGCAACCTGCTCAATACCAGAACCTCCATTTCTCACCGGAGGACTTTGAGAGCAATCTACAAGTTGCGGAAGTACACCCGGCCCTTTTCTGCAAGAATGTCCATGCTTATACAACGATGCTTGAAGACAACAACGATCACTCTAATGCCCTTAAGATTTATACAGATGGCTCCCAGGTGAATGGAACGACAGGCTGTAGCTATACCATCAAACGAAATGGAAGCACCTTAAGGTCTTGGAAAGGCTTTCTGCGCGCAGGCAACTCGGTCTTTCAAGCGGAAGCCGAAGCCATACGCCAGGCAATCTTAGCAGCGAGTCAATTTAGCTACTCCACCGCAGAAATACACACCGACAGCCTGTCAGCAATTCGTAATCCTTTTCACAGGTCACCCATCATAGGGCGCATTCAGCAAACCCTGCACCAGTACGAAGGACGCATCCTCATCTTCTGGATTAAAGCACACGCTGGACACCAGGGAAATGAGGAGGCAGATTTACTAGCCAAAGAAGCCGCGAGCAATCTCGATGCGGAACAACTGGCAATAAAATTACCAAAATCCCATGTAAAGAAGGCTGTTCTAAACGCCGCACTCAAGCAATGGCAGGAAGAGTGGAATTCTATTCCGCAAGGAAGAAGGACCTACGAATTCGCTCACAAAGTCAGCCTTGAGAGACAGATATCTCAGCCACACATCACCAGATTTATAACGGGTCATGGTCCATTCCCCGATTATTTTCTAGAGCGAAGAATAACAAACACCAACATCTGTGTGTGTGGCCAGCCAGGTAGCCCGGACCATTATGTCACCTTCTTCCCACTAACACGAGAGTGGCACATGCCGTTTTACAACACAGATCCAGCCTATAAAAGATTCTTCATTCGCCAACCAGCGTTACTTAAAAAACTCAAAAGTATTATGGACAGACTGCAAGCATTAGGCCAGGACTTGTGTGATTCGGCTTAACCACAACCCTATTCTTTATGTAAATGTAATACACGATTACGTGTTACCATTATTCTTCATCTATCGTATAATGTATAAGTGCCATTTTCAGTATTCATTTCCATTAATGTATAAGTCTTTAAGTGTATCATTTGTACTAATATATATGTATAGCCAAGTAAGGTAATACAGGAATATGTGTAACCTTTAATTGTCATCGTTCACACTGATACACAATTTTCATTCTCAGTGTATCATTTCTGTCAACGTATAGGTGTGTATGTATCATTTTTATTGATGTGTGTATAGTCCAGTAGAATAATGTATGATTATGTGTTTTCATTTATCGCCATCATTTGTATGTGTTTATGCATATCATTTCTAGTAGTTTATGTATAGTCATATAGGATGACACACGATTACGTGTATTCATTAATTGTCATCTTCTGCATTATTGCGCCAGTGTTTCATTTCTCTTTAATGTATAAGTGTTATTGTTTGCCTATCTCATTAACCCCTTAGACCAATATACATATGTATCCAATGTACCTATACCACCAATGTACCTATGTATGAAACTTTTTATTAATTGTATACTGAAGCATATATATGCACACGCCCTTGTTTGGCCACGTCAATACCACATATTCTCCATTAATATATTTCCGATGCAGCCCTTTCAGGAAGTCGCCAGGGTTGTGTTGTTCTAAATAGGTGCGGGTACCGGACGACACCCGATTTGTCATATTAAGCCGTCCGGGTGTCCGGGCCCTGCATTCACCTGTCACCTGTACTAAAATAATAAAACACGTTTTGTCTCACAGCTTGCGTCTTTCCTTTTTTGCGTTTTATGTCGTCACTACCGCGCCAGGAAAGCGTTTTCGATCATGTATTCCTACGCGATTTGCCATCTTCTAGGTGTACTCTCTCTCTCCTGAAAGTTTGTCACCGCTGTACTCATACACCCTGTATATATATATAGTTATACATGTTTGATGCAGCCGATCGCAAAGCAAAAGAGAGGCGCACAAGTACATGTAATATCAGTCCTATATATAAAATTTCAATGCTCTGAAACTACTCGTTTTTGAGTTATGCGAGATACATAAGTAAGTAGGCATGCACAGATTTCCCAATTTAAATCTGTTTGGGAAAATAAGTCCTTTATTCTGTCGGTACATATAGATGTCGTTCAAATGCATTCAAGAGCAGTCAAAATGTATCGGAAATACGATGCCCGAAATTTTTCCCGATTACAATAGGTCATAGAAGATGTCAATGACTTGCAGTTTTGTTCAAGGAAGATGCGGCTTTCCCACTGACCACGAAAGTGGCATCATCTGCAAAGGCTGTTGTGTGAGCCGGCCATTCTGCTTTTAGATTCGAGTTAAATGTTAAATTCCACAGGCCTGGACCTGCGCATGATCCCTGTGGGCAGCCTCTTTGCTGTGGCCTGGTAATTATTCTCCCGTTCTGCATCGCGATGAAGCTGCGGTTACTGAGATAACTTTAAAAATTCTGTAGGATGTTATTTGGAATGTTAGCTGCATGTAAGGCTTCTATAGGATTGCCGGCCACCACAGGGAGTCAAATGCACTTTGCAGATCCAGACTGAGGACTGCCACATGCTGCTGTTCTTTGCGCAGTCGCTTGACTTCCTCGCATACGTGCTCCAGGACTTAGGTAGAGCGATGCTTCCGAAAGCCATATTGGTATCTGAGAGGATACCGTTTTTAGCTATATATGATGTTCAGCCTGAGAACGAGAAGCTTCTCGAAGAGCTTTCAGAACTGGCAGAAGGCAAATGGTCAAAGGACGAAGGATCATTGGTCATCTTCTTTCGTAAAGAGGACCACTTGGCCCGTTTTAAATATGTTAAAGTTTAAATTAGAAGTTGTGAAGAAGCCACTAGCATCAGGCAGGTTGTAGGTTGTTCATTTCATGAGACAGGTGACAGGTGACGGAGGGGGACGCCTGGCGTATAACATAGGTAAACAGGCATATGTCCCACGTCCTCCACTATCTCGAAGAAGCAACTCGCTGGAGCCCCGTGAGGCTGCACCGGGAGTTTACATGGCCATACAGGGCTAGATGTCGGGTAGTTTTTACATAGGACGTTGTTAATAACACAAAGTAACTTAAAAAAGAATATAAAGGATAGCATTAAAACACTAAAACACTCATATAAGC